ATATATATATATATATATATATATATATATATATGACAGCCCCGTCAATAGTCCCGCTTACGAGAGACCTCTCGGTTTAAATCGCTGAATTCCACTCCGTCAGTTTGAAATTGATGCCTTTACAGAGACCAGTACCCGAATGCCAGCGGAGACTGCCTTATGAGTGTATGGGGCCTATATTTCCCTTTCAATAAAGACCGGAATGTAAGTAGAGTATTTCAAGTTTTCCTACAATAGTCGCAATGCACATAAGTTTATTTATAAGGTAGTCGAGGATCCCGAACATAACCTTCCGCTGACGCAATAACCCTTCGAAAATAGACTCCATTGAAAAGAAGTTACTGCTGTGAAAAGGTCACAGTAGACTAAAGCGTCATTCGCGATTGGTTGGGTGAACCAAAACCGACTTTAGTAGTCTAGTGAGGTGTGCATAAACCAACAGAAGTTCGAACTTAACGCGGGAAACGTAGTGGAGTTCGGTGACCAGAGCACATTCGTTTCGTTTACAGGAGAACTTTCGTGATTACCTCTTTGTTTACTTGTGTGATAGACAGGGGGGCTGAGTGTGCTTAGCCGGTGAATGTACAAATCTCTGACAAAAGTGGTTGCACGACCGATCACCGGTTCGAAATTCCTACTTGGACTCAAAATCGCGCGGTCGCTCTCATCTGTTCTCATGGCGTATATGACTAAAGTGGTTGACTTGGGTTGACCCACGGTTCGAATCCGTTCGGAGTATGACTAGTTTTGAACTGTGTGAGATCCCAATTACAGAGCCCGCGAGGTCGATTGTTTTTCCCCATATGTGATAGACGGCTTCCACGATCGTCTGTTGGGGAGCTCATCTAGAAGAGCATATTCCGAGCTTCTATTTTGGATCGCTAATGTTCAGATAGCTATGCGAATAGGATATGCATTGAAAAAAGGGATCAAAGAGAGGAAATTGTTAACCTTATCTCGACATCGCTATCCAGGGGAATGTTGATAGCACAGGTTGCGTAGATAGTCGTTGTTCTGTTCACTGAGTTGGACTAGTTGGTTAAAAACGTTTCGTCACCAACCGAGGTAACATCATCAGTGCGTAATGAATTGGTGGGCATCTTGGTGCGTCCGTATGTAGACATTGGACAGTGCTTTGCTCGTGCTCATATGTCTTTGACTCGGGGGAAGGGAGAAAAGTGGCCTCTGATTATGATTGGTCGTTTGGATGGACGGTCCCGTTTGTCGGGCGTTTGGCCTTCTCCCTGACTGACTGGTCTCTGGATGACTGTTGTCTCTGAGGTCTAACTTATTCCCCATGATCTTTGGCCTTCGGATCCCACGGTTACTATTGGTGGTTGATCAGCTGGCCCTTGATCCGTTCACCGAGCTTGGCAATCAGCTTGCAAAAGTTTCACCACCAATCGAGTTGACATCACCATGCATGATTGGTTGGATTATTCCTCCTTACCTGCTTCAGGTTATATAGCTGCCAAAGGCTAGCCGACTTCTGTTGCTATGGTTGGCTGACAAGAATGCTTCTTTCTCGGAATCTCATTGGTCCGTTTCAAGTTGTGTTGCATTGTCATCTGTATTTCTCGTATTCAATTGGCGCGTTAGATAGTTTCTCATTGAGGATGCATCCCAGCTATAAGTATATATTTCCAGTAACCACCATTATTGTCAGTCCCCTTGAGTTGTGTGATTAAGTTGGTGATCCTTTGCTTATGGTGGTACTTGGATTGGTTCTATTTCTATACATCAGTTAATTAAGTTTGTGACGTAGTACAATGCTTCTAGGATCTCCTTCACGTGTCATGTGTTTCCGCATGACAAGACCTCAGCGCTTTTAGATTGGACTTGTGTCCTCCATGATTGTCGTGTAGTGAAATCGGATAAAGTGTATCACACTTTCCGGTTGCAGCATTGTGCTCTCTGATCCTCGTGGGCACATTTTTTCTTGTTTGTCCAGCATAGTAGTTGTGACAATCCGTGCGGTTAATTTGGTTAACAGCATTGTTCCTGGTCGACCTTCTTCGGTCAAATTCCTCAATTTAACCTTCGATTTGTGGGTTACCAAGGCTCCCTTCGGTCGCAGTAGCCATACTGCGAGCTGAAATGCGTTTTGGATGTACTTTAGGACGATCTGTTTGCTTGTCTGCTCATTTTGTTGTTGCTATCGGTGGCTCTATTCCTTAAGATTTTCCTGATGAAATTTCGTGAGTAACCGTTGTTTGACGACTTTGCACTTTTGTATCGCCCCTATCTGTACTCCTTATATTGCATCCCCTGATATCAGTTTCCGTTCTTCTCCGTAATCTCTTCGTTGCGTGTTAGATTCCTTGAAAGCTTGTGTAGTTGCGTTGGCCAGTAGTCTGAATAGCTGCTTTGCGAAGCGGTTAATGCGATAGACCGGAATGCACTTGTTGTGTACTCAACAAAATTTCAAAATATTGCCGGTGGACACGACTGACTGTCGAATCATAATCCACCCTAGCTGACGAGTGCCCCGTGGTTATGTCACGGTGATCGTGGTTCGCATTATTGTTCGTACGTTAACATTTCAAGTCGTTTTAGCCGCGTTTTTGTTTCGTACCTTTTTGTTTTGTTAAGGAAATGCATGACCAAGAGAAAGCACATCTGAAGAAATTCGAATCACTCATTCCCCGCTATCGAGTGCGGCCAACCGCTTTGCTTCCATTCTGGAACGTTGCCGGGCTGGCTCTGGGTGTTGGAAGTGCTCTATTTGGAAAAAAGGCGGCAATGGCCTGTACAGTTGCGGTGGAATCGGTCATATCCGAACACTACAACAGTCAGATACGAGAGCTAATCGAACACGATCCAGCTGAGTACGCTGAACTGCTTCAGGTACCTTGTTTGTGTGACTGGTTGTTTTGTTTGATACCATTTGGGTTGAACTATGGTATGACCACATCGAAACGGCAGGTTCTCATCAATACAATCCCATTCATAGCAGCGGACAAATACAATTTGAGAGCATACCCTGACCCATTTTGTTCGCTCAGATCGAACCTATGCGTGAGAACGGCCCAGTGTATTGTGATTTACTTAGCATCGTTGGAACGTACAATGTGTTCGAATTGTCACTGGCACAAACCTTGTCGATCCGGGGTACGTTTTTCAAAGGGAGGAAGAAGTTTATGCGTTTTTGCAGCTATTATCTAGAGCCATACCACCGACAGGGTGTAAAGTTTCACTCCAGGACGAGCGGTATTTGAACACGCCAGTTGTACCTCAAATAGAGAACATTCTTAGCTTTAATGCTTTTTGATTGTCCTCTAATGGTTGTCATCTTTGACGCTAGTGTTCCACTGTGAGACCACTATGTGAACTCTGAATTGGGATCACACTCATCAGTTTCCGCATCCGTGGCACGAAAAGTATGCATCAATGGGTCTTAAGTTTCCTTTCTAGTACACTACAGCTCAGTCGCCGTCCGACTGAGGTCTCTGCTGACGAACCATGTGGGTTGTCTGTTGGCGCCAGCGAATTTGCGTTGATATTGTTATATCTGCTGATTCGCCAATTCTGAGGTATCTGCTGCTGACGCGCTCCAGCGCCTAGTGCCGGAGAAAAGACTCACAGAAGGGAACACAACACATATATTCCGAACAAGCGAGTGCGAGAGCGTGAGTGCGTGCGAGTGCGAAAAGTAAGTTCTCAAGCTATTTATCGGAAGTACACTGTCTGAACTTGGTCTAGTGCTGACGCACACGGTCTGGCTCCGGTACGAGGCTGCGACGCGCTGCACATTACGGGGGCGTTGTCTGTCTGGTCAACATCTAGCAGAGATGAGAGTCTCGGCAGGTTTCGGGTATTCAGTGGTTGCTTTCAGGAAGCTGACCTTCCTGATGGATATGAATACCAAAGGGATGTTCGGTGATGTGGCCTGTTCATGTCGTACTCGTGGTGGCCTTTAGTCTACTCAGAAATATTGTTTCTCATACGGCCTGACGTAAACTGGCGAGTGTGCGGTTTGTCGGCACAGAATGGAGGTTACGAAAATCTGGTTAGTGCTTCAAAATATTCCTAAAGTGACCCCATTGATCCTTCATGTGCTTGGCTAGGGATACCACAAGATACGACGATGAACCGAGATCCTCGGTATTCACGTTGACAGTTTCTTTGCAGACTATCTGATTAGAGGTGTAGGCATCCAGTACTAGGCCTCTCCTCTTTGCAATTTTGAGCCTTCGTACACACAAAATGACCTTCAAACAGGTCAGCTTGAGTGAATGGTGGGTGTTTCAACGGTGTTTTTGCTGTTAATGCGGATGATGCCAATTGGAGAGATGTGTTCCCGGAGACTTTCTCGGGCATCATGTTTTTGTCTTCTGCTTTAAAAGAGTTTACTTCTATTGAGGCACATATCTGTAGGCTTTATCCATATTGTCATATTGGTATAAAGTGAAATACACATGGGAGAATTTGACAGGATTTGATTTTGCTATGCAAGACAGGACACGAGCAACGATTATTGTCACACACACACACACACACACGAATGCGTGTTGAACTGGATGTGTAAGTGAACTGAAAGGTAAAGTGATTTTTTAACCGAAGACTTGGAACCGATGGGAGTGTGAATGCTACAACTGCCGACAACCAAGATAGGAGTTCGCGTCACTCCGTATGTTTCACCGGTTAAGTTTCGTACTCGAGAGCCCCTTTCGCTCAGCTTTGTGCTGAGAGAAGATGATCATAATATGGTCAGACCTTAAAGTGCAGCCCGGAAGTGTGAATCAAGAGACTTAGTCACGGTGGTGTCTTTCAGCTCCCAGTTTGAGCATTCAGGTTGGTGGAAGCACAAACGGCTAGAAATAGGGGGAGAAATATGACTCGCTCAATAGTGTCTTTGCACCGTAGCTTTCGTTTTCGGTAGGTGACTGTCCAAAGTGCCCGGTAGAAAATTATGGGAAATCCGGTTGGTCTTTGCCACACTTCACCAAGAGTTTCCACGACGAACCAGTGCATGCAAGCTTTGGCCTTTACTGTAAGGTTCCTGTGGTAGCTGGCACCATCACAATCTAGCACAATCGAATCACTGCCTCTCCCCAGGGGTTGTCCTGGTGTCGAATGTGCGCGAGTGGATTACTGTAATGAGCCACCAACGCAACTGTCTTCATTTTCTTTATCTCAATACTGTAGAGGTAGGAGGCTACACAAAACCTGTAGTGACAGAAACACGTTACTAGGTAACACGACCATCCGACAACCTTTCGAATTCGGTTGAACGTTGAATCATGTGGTATTTCACAGCGGAGAAGTGAAGATCAGCGTGTGCTAAGATCACACAATCAGCATAGTTCATCTGTTTTCATCAGTAATGCAGATAAACACTGGAATCACTGCAAACATACAAGAATCGCCCGATACAAAGAACCAAAGAACCAATCAGTAGGTGGACCAATCACAATGCAGAGTTCGTAATGGCTTTCAGCAAAATCCTTTGTACCCTAATATTTTGCCGAATAAAATGAGACCCTCCATGAGTGGATTGAGACCTTCATTGATTTCCATTATCGCAGTAAATTTTTGGTCTCTGGTTGATACAGCATGCTACTTTTCATGCCCTGCCTCTGCGTTTGACCAGCTTCGACCGATTGTTTCATCTATGATTTTAGACCTTGACAAAATTTCGTGATGAGGAGATCGAACATCATGACATCGGATTGGCTCATGAGGCTGAGCAAGTGAGTGCTTACTAAATGCCCTGTCTCTAGCCTTGAGTTTCGTCGCCACCATTTTGGTCAATTCCTTCGGGGAACATAGAACATTCTCTATGGTCAAACAGTCCCTAGTGAATGTGAAAGTTCCAAATTCGTGCAGTGCACTGCGACGTATAAGCACCTTTTTGCACGTGTTCTATCTCCGTCTCTCTTAAAACCACGTTCGGGTTGTGAGTTGCTCTCGCGGAGTCTAAGCGCACACTGTTTCTGTTGCCGTTCTTAGTTTCCGAATCAAATAACAATGAGTAGTATTTGTGCCGGAACACTTCACTGCTCCGGGTCCTTCTTCCGTTTAATCTCTTGGGAAAGAGGGCTTGAGGAATTTTTAACCCTCAAAATGTCATAAATGAAAGACCCAGTTGGGTTCCACGTGGGTTTCTCGTCAATGGTATGCAGATGAGTGTATTTCGCTAGTTTCGTGCAATTCGGCTTCAAGTAGAAACGGAAACTCGGAGATCGCGCCTACCTGATGAACCCAAGTAGGGCGAAACCGGTCGTGAGTTGTCGGATATCGTATTACGTCTATTTTCGGCCTCATTTTTGGGAGTCTGTCGAGAAGTATCCCTTTTCAGTCATGCAAGTGCTTGCACAAATTGATGTTCAAGCCTTTTTCAACTGTCCGACGGTTGCTTAGTCGAAATGAGCCTACAGAATTGACTACGTGTCCGGTTGATGGCTGTGCGATTAGCACAAATAGCCTTTTGATGCCAACTGTCAGCCAGATGATTTGGGGTATCTATAAAAATTATCCAGGCAGCTTAGAGATAATTTAGAATCCTGACAAGTTCAAAGCTATATAGATTGCCTTCCGCTTCTCAGTATTGCACCGACAGAATTTTGTTCACTTCACTTACATGAGGGTCACTGTATTCAGTTTCAACTGATTGCGCTTTCGTCTATGATGCTCGTTCGGTGAATAGCTGTCGTGCGACCCGAAAGAAACACTCTAGGCAAGAGGAATCGACAAACCAGGATAAGTTTCGAACCGCAAACCCTCCGATCAGTGGCGTCGCCCCCTTAATGACTCGGATATCTCGAGCTTCTGCTGAGCTATTTCTAGTTCAGCACGAGTTGGATGGTCATGTTCCATGGGCTTGGGGCACCTGATCGTTAAAAGAAGCATCTTAGACGGAAGTTCAGTGAACTACTAAATTTGGGACGGATGCGTCACCAGATTAGTTTACGAGTTTATGCATGCGGCCGATTTCTCATTGTTTGTTAGACTACATGGTTCATAGCTGATACTCTGCGTCCTCCAACAGCGTGGCTCCGCGTTAACCGTCATTGCTTCAGGCCGTTTCAACCCTCCATCGTGTTACCCGCACAACCGACTTCGGATAGTTGGGTTCCACCTGCCTTGTTAATCCAACTAGTTCAGTTAAAACTAGCCGTTCGAAAGTATTGCATATCCCTCTTGTAAAGTCCCGACAATCTGCTAGCATTCAACTCCCTTATAGGAATATCTGGATAAGTCCACTACGCACTTCAAAATTGGATTTCCACGTACCGGAGCATTCACGTGAGTCCTAGTTGACGCAGCTACAATCACCACCTTCCGTGAAATGAAAATACATAAATGTGTTTTCTATAGAGGAGAATGTCGGTAGCTCAGGTAGCGTAGATGGTCGTTGGCTTGTTCGCTGAGCTGGGCACTTTGGTTGCAAACGTTTCATCACCAATCGAGGTGACATCATTTTTCTATAGGGAGAATGTCGATAGCTCAGGTAGCGTAGTGGTTGCGCCTAACCCACCGCTACTCACAACTACGCACTGATGATGTCACCTCGATTGGTGATGAAACGTTTGCAACCAAATTGCCCAGCTCAGCGAACAAGCCAACGACCACATACATGTGTGTCTACACGTCTTTCGGACCGTAGCTTTGACGACAACTTATGGTGTGATAGAGAAAAGATTGTAGGTGACTCAGGTGTGCAATTTGGTTTTTGCATTTTTCGCGGAGCTTGACAATCTTACGGCAAGCATTTCACCATCTCTAATCGACCTGACGTCAGTGTTTAGTGTGTCGATAGAATGTGGTAGTATAACGGTGTGTTTGAGTAACTCAGATACTTACCACTACTTACTCCAAGACTGATTAGCAATTTTTAAATGAGAACACTGTGGTTTACCAGGCAAACCTCAATAGATGTAATAAGTATCACGTTAAATCGGTTGGAAGGAAGCAGCAATAAACGAATATGAGGCGATTGCCTTTTCTGTTCCCGGACCCGAAGATAGACATCGTGGAAGCAGTGAAGATCCTGGCACATAGAGCTACAAAACAAATAAAAGAATTTACGAAACATTGAGGCAACCATCACATTTTAGTAGACAATCTGTGTATCTGTGTGACTGAAGGATCGCTAGCTCTAACAGAACCGACAATCGGACGGGTGGTGGCAGCAACTCAGACAATGGGGGCACAACATCCACTCAAAGGTCAGCCCCGATCAAAAGAACAGGTTTAAACAATGACGCAACCCTGCTCAACATCTGACCGGGCATTAGTGGCAACCAAAAAATAAGTTCTCCGAAACCTTGTCGTTTTCGATGCAAATGTTGGTCTCTGAGTGTTTATGCAGGCAAAATTTCAAGGTCACTAAGCACTACGGAGGGGAAACGAATTAACAGTAAAGTTACTCATAATGCTGATTGAAATAATTGATTTTGATTTGAACTTCTTTAAGCATACGAAAAACGTGAAATGAAGCGATGCAGGGTTTTTCATCCCGAAGATAGCGTCATTTTGCTATAATTTGGGTAAACGCACTTGTTGTTTTGGGTTGGTAGGCCGCGACAAGATGGCATGCACTGTTCAGTGCATCCACAGAGCATCACCAATGATATAATGGTAGGTGTTTGCGAGATTTGCAGAACTCACCTTTACAGTATTCTCCTCTGGACAGTCCATTTCCTGTTCTGTGCAACTATTCAGCCTAGTCCACATCAAATGGAAGAAGTATTGCGGTGCCTCACCAGAACGGGAGGACAGGGAAAGCACTGTTAGGAAGGTGACGTGAACGTGGAAATAGCGGTAGTTGTGCGCATGAAACTCACCTTCCCCGTGTACCAGATGGCCTAATGCATCATGCGCATCACAAGCAACAGTGTAGACTACGAAAAATTTGGCCATCCTCTTAGTTCTCAGTAGATATTTGGAGAGAAAACAATTTGACCCTACGAATAAACAAAATTCCAACGCACATTTCTGACAATGAACAGCGCCGGATTTTCGCAGCTCAATAGCGCCAACAGATGGTACGATATTTGCTCAGTGACATTTTTAAAAATTTAGTAACTAGTAAGTGGGTTCTCACGATGACGCCACAATAACGTATCTCATTGTGAAATACTGGTATTGATCAGCCGATACCCTGTTCAATATTGACTATTAAAATTGTCCATTCACTCATCTACTAGAATGTCGTAAGTAGTTTATAATTAATTCCCTAATGCGTGTCAAAGCGTTGGGACTATTGCCCTTAGACACCTCTTAAACGCGTTTGGCCAACTTTTTACGAATTACTGGGTTAGTTTCGAGACCGCCTAAATGCAGCGCGATAACGTTCATAACTTGCGGCAATATGGACTGTAATGTTTACGGCAGTTGCTTGGCGACTGACTGCAGTTCCCCATGAGTTAATAGGCGAGTAGCATAACTTCGGCACAAAAACATGCATTTACTTACCAACGTTTTTATCCTGTTCACGGAAAAACAAAATTTAGAGTCCTGCGAACAGAGAAAAAACTTCATATTTGAAACATGGCATTCAGTAATGATCATCCCAGGTGTTTCAAAAATAACGAAAAATTACAAGGTACCTGCCGGCTCCCTGAGCAGCCATCATATATGAGCCAAATCAGGGTATGATCTGCGCACCCATCGAATAAATTTAACAAGTTTAATTTGAATTGGCATATTTTTCGCTAATCATTGGATTCCTTAGATATATCATTTAGTGCTACATTTCCACGTAAAAGTTTGCTTCTGGCGCCTGGCGGTTTCCGAGAATTTTTTTGTGTTTTAAGCCTCAACACCAGCCCATACATTGATACCCGGCCATCGTACGCCGCATCCCGCTTCAGCTTCAACTGAAGGTCAGCTAGGAATCTTAAATTTCTCGTCCGGATACACAGAGCAGAGCATCATTTGACAATAGCATATAAACTCCGGTTGTTTGTTGATAAAGCTCTTGCTTCAAAGTTGCAGAGGAAGCCGAGTGCGTAGTTCCTAACATGCCTCCCAGTCCGATTGATTTAATCTCATCCAAAACATCCTTATGATATCGCTACCCTTTTGGTTAGAGATTCATACAATGGTCCTCAAGCAAAGCGCACCCCGGTGAATTGCGTAATCTGTTGTTTGTCGAGTCTTGTTTTAAATTGGAAGCAGCTTCTGGACTTTGTAGCCGGTCGTCGTCTTTTCAACCAAGAGTCGACGCGACCGGTTCGGAAGGTTCGAAATTTAGGTAACATAACTGGGCCTACACATTCCTCTGTATACCAATTTGGTTTTGACGGGAGGCTTATCTGGAACACAGCTGAATTTCTCGTTAATGATGCTCTTGTTCAGCTGAATGGGCTGCACCAGGCCGTCTCATGTCTCAGTTGGCCGAAAAGTTTTCAGCCACCTTACGAGTAGTATATTACGTCCATGTAAAGCAACGTAACTTCACACGAACTGGACGCTTTTATCCCAAGGGTGTAATTTTTCGTTTCGGGGCTCTGCTCAATATTTGGCGCACAATCAAGTCTTACTAGTATGTCATGGAACAGTGAATCATCGCGCATTATCCCAAAACGATGCCATCTGTCATCAATGGCCTAGTGTTCTTCGGGGGTTCTCAAACACTCAAAGTCTAATATTTGATGCCGGATCCATAATTAAATCCATTTTTTAAATTTCGTTTGCTTGTTTTGTTTTTCCTTAAGTTCGGTCTCTTTTGTAGTGCTACCCTACTCCGCTTGACACAGCTTTGAATGCAATTTGTTCGATTCGATGCATAGTGGTTTTTAGCGAAATAGTCTATAGTGAGTAAAGTAACAAAGTGGTACGATGTTTCTCAGCTGAAAGCAGTAAAGACCGAAAACACAAGTTGCTCTACATGACCGTCCTGCATTCTCCATACATTCTGTAGTAAGTCGAGGAATATATTTTCCATAACGCATACCATTTCGTTATATCGGTTTCTGTACTCATCCCGCTTTGATGGTTTTATCGTTTTCCCTATTGTCTCTTACAGGCGCCTGCGTATCAGTTCTTTTCGCAACTCGTGAAGATGGGTTGTCGAGCCAGCATATTTCTAGCTGAACGGATCTAGATACAAAACACTTGCGCAAGAGGTTTTTCTTCGGCCCCCTTGCTCGACGTTTCGGTTGTTTCTCTCTTTCCTGTCATCCTCCTGACCTACACAACGACATACCCTGCAATAACTTGTCCGTCCTCATATTTGTTTCCAACGCGCCGCTTATTCAGATTGCGCCATCCATGAGACATCGCTCCACATTTGAACGAACCATGATTTCTATCCATTTTGTTCATTCCGGCTTTTTTGAGCGGAACCTCAGCGTCATAAGACGATCTTTTTTGTACATCCTTACAGGACTAAATATATCTCTTTATATCGATTCATCATCCCTACTTGTGCTGCGTGTTTTGGTGCCAGTCTAGGGGTACAGTCACGCTGACATGGACTTTACTCATTCGCTTCTCGCTCCAAGACCAAAGCAATACCCACTGTGGTACAGCATCGAATGTATTGTCTTCCTGGGTTATTGAATCTCGGTGACAAGGCCTTCGACAAGAACAAGATACCTTTCAATACGATCTTAGTCGTCGGTACAATGTAATCAATTTCCTGGTTCTCCAAATGTGCATGATAATGCGTAATCGTTCTTTCAATTTCTTTGGGCAGTTACTCCCGAGTCTGGTGCGCACTCGCTCGGGACATTCCAACTTTACACGGAGGCATTTAAAAGCATCCTGTGCGGACTTATTGTGATTCATTTCGAAATACTTGTTCCTTTTTTCATGGTTCAGATCTTCCTCACGTCCGTCTTTGTATGCGTCCATCTCACAACCCTGATCTGCATCCATAACCGCTCATGAATTTTTTACCTGCCGGACTAATTTTTGCGGATCTTTTGCGTACGCGTCACTACCTGTTGCATGCTCACTTTGTGTCATCTCCATGTATGCGGTTGCCGTGTCGTTTCCACAGAATTTTAGCTAAATCCCGAAACAATTTAGAGGCATTTAAAAGCATCCTGTGGGTACTAATTGTGATTCATTTCGAAATACTTGTTACTTTTTTCATCGTTCAGATCTTCCTCACGTCCGTCTTTGTATGCGTTCATCTCACAACCCTGTTCTGCATCCATAACCGCTCATGAATTTTTTACCTGCCGGACTAATTTTTGCGGATCTTTTGCGTACGCGTCACTACCTGTTGCATGCTCACTTTGTGTCATCTCCATGTATGCGGTTGCCGCGTCGTTTCCACAGAATTTTAGCTAACTCCCGAAACAATTTAGACGAAACTTGTTATAACCTGATGTGTGTGTTTGTATACGTACTTTTATACATGTAGTACCGCAGTTTGTTGGGAAATCTCAAGGCTGGTTAAGTATTCTGCGTGTATATTGCACAATACCAAAGCGCTCTATAATAGAAACAGTAATGTCAAATCAGGGTTTCAATAAAATAGAAACGATCTGTTCACGTATAGCTCAATTGAGAAAAGGAGAACCGAAAGAGAGGATTCACAACATCCCTCAACCGGCTGCTCCATGTAGATCTTCCCCTAACGACTATACGGACTCATCAATTTCGTTCGCAGTACGAAGAGACTTGGAAGTTGCAACAGATATTTGGTCCTGTAAAAGAGGTCTATCCATGCCGAAACCCAGGAAACACTGCAGAGCTGTTTCATTTCAGAGCTGGGGATCACCACCAGTGTGCATCTCATGAAATTCCAAGGGAGTTGGAGCTCACAACCCCGCGGCCAGTAGTGGAGACTAAACCAAATGAGCGACTGGTCAGCGATGTGATTAGTTTAAATTCTACAGATGTGGGGACAACCACCAGATAATCAGAGCAACTTAACATACGCAGAGAGCGCGTTAGGGCTGAACTGGCGGAGCATCCTGGGCGTGCGCTTGTCCAGACCTGGGGGACGAATTGCACATTAAGCGGATCGTACTATCGACTTCCTCTGATGTAACGGGCTCGATCAAACTCCAGTCGGATGGTACTACTACGCGAATTGGACGGCTATCCATGTATTTTCCAGCTGAAAGCACCCGCTTCCAATACTGCTCGGCGTCCAGGGCTCGATCTCCAGTCGGATGGTACTACTACGCGAATTGGACGGCTATCCATGTATTTTCCAGCTGAAAGCACCCGCTTCCAATACTGCTCGGCGTCCAGAAGTAGGCCGCAGTTACCTTTAGATCCTTCCATGACCTACCAAGACAGCAGACGCTGCATCTTCCCGTCTTTAGTGGTATAGGCTCCGGATGGCGGCGTAGTTGGCTCGGCGGATCTGCCTTCGGTTGATTGGCATCCAATGGACTAACTGATGGGATACAGTTTTCCAGGTATTTGGAAATGTCCTGGAGGCGTGGAGGTCCAGAAGCGACAGGACGTACTCCGGTTTCATGCCGAACCAGACCTCTGTCTGTCGACTTCCCCTGTCTAGGCTTGGGCAACCTGGCAGTGTCCCAGCTCTCGTCCTGCTTCCTTCTGGTGGCATGGTAGTTAGGCACCGAGAGGATGCTACAGCTGAACGATGTAAGCAGTTCTCTTCATTCCATCGGGTCCCTTGAAAATCTGTAAGATAACGGCAAGACGTGGGCCGAAGGTGTTGCTTATGGACTGACGCTAGCATTGTTCGCGTTAAGGTATACCATCGCTACAAATTACCTATTCCTAAATCTCCATCTTGCTGATATACTAAAAAAGTAAGAACAAACTACGGCTGAACATATCCGACTTTGTCGTAGTGACCTGATTAGAGAACATTGTCTACAGGATAGCGTTTTCTACTGGAATTGGTGCACAGAACAACTGTTGGTCAGAAACGGGTGTACACATTCCAAACACTGCATCTAGATGTTGGGAAGGGAAAACTTGGCGCTTGATCCATTTTATGCAGAAAAAAATACAGCGTTGATATGGCTATTGGGATTAGAGTTCTCAACATTTCCCTTCTAAATGTCTGGAGTTGTTGCACGGTAGAATGAAAACGCAGGTAATCAGATAAAAGAATTTCTCACCTAAAAGGTTTGCATGTAGGTAGATTAACTTTATCGTTGAACAACACTGATTTGTCGATACCAGCGCTGATGTGACTGTTTCACGTTGATATGTTAATTCATGTAACTGTGCTACAGGGTACACGGATGTGCCGTATATATCTATACACATTTATATGCATACGAAGGTCGGATTTGTGAGAATAATCGCAGAATGCCCGAGATCTCTGACAACCTCAAACCACCTAAATCGCAGTAGGGAAGCCATCAAGCATCCTGGCCAGAAAACCCACCTTCCAATTGGACGCTCAAGCAGTCAATTAGTTTAGCAACGGCCGATGATGATGAATGTTCAGGTATTTCAGTGAATCACGGTCAACGACGAGGCATGTTCACTCAAAACTGACGGAGCAGCTTGGATCAATGTCAAAAGTACTCTCTAAATACAGTGAGGCCCCTTGTTACTGATGCGCATCTGGACAGGATATAGCGTTATTAATTTTCGATTTTGGAATTCATATTGTGTGGCTATGCGTTGGCTGGCTCTTCTGCTGACAATCTATCAAGCTTACCTCCGGCACGGAAAAATCTGAGCTACTTTTAGTTTGTAAGTAGTGTAAGATCGTGGATTCAAAACATCCTGGAGTTTAGTGAGACTAGATGATTTAGATTAAAGACGAAAGAACTGCATAGCACTTATCGGCTTGCCGAACAAACTAGCTTTACGTACAGGACAAAAATTTCCTTGCAAGTGAGCGTGATCCATCCAGAGGGGTCACATTTTCCTCTGGTTGTCTCTTCAGAGCAGGATGGCTGAAAATTTCAAAATAGTGAATGCTGACTCTCGAGACTGCTATGGCACTGAAGACAAAGCAAGAATACCACCTGATAATCCCACACGGTGTACATAAATGTTGTCGCCTGCAAGCGTTTGACTTAGTTGCGCAGGAATAACAGGGATGTAAACTCGGGCTACACCAAAGTCGTCCCTCTGGAAGGGACTGACTTTCACTGGAACCTACTTTTGTCTGTTGTCGTGAAGATTTTTTCAGTGAATACCGTCATTTCAGAGAGCCTCGCCCTTCGAAAGATACCAGTTATGACTAAATCTTCGGGTTGTATTCTACGGGTGTGAAAAATAAACGAGACATTCCTACTGCTTTTGGCAAAAAACAAGCCTTATCTGACCGAAGTAAATTTCACACGTCTTATCCAAATATGGTGGTCCTCCGCCACCAGCAGTTTCGTCAGACACAAATTTCTGCTTTTTTAGTGATGTTCTTCCTTGATGATAATGGCAACATGAATGAACTCACCTGTCTCATATTTAGGAACACCATGATTGGGTCTTAGACATCGCAGGCACCAAATGGACGGGACACACTTCCGTTCGGGTTGGATACTCAGGTTTTACAGCCTGAAGTCCGCTATCCTGAAGCCCAAGGCAACTTCGCCTCACTGGTGATGCGTCCGCGGAATAGACTGCGTTTTGAAGAAACGAAATCACAGTGGAATAGCGCGCAAGTTTGGATCCAAACAGAAGTTACTGTTACAATTCGATTAAACGCTTGTGAATTTCCAACGGTGTTATCCCACCTTTTGTCCTAAGCGTGATATATAAAATGAGTTGCAGCACAGAAATTAACTGAAAGAAGTTCTCAAAGCCATTCATGTGAAGCTCAGATGGAGAATAACATTTTCCAGAGGGAGAGAGCGAGCGGTAACCAGATCCTATGGGTTGCTAACAGGACAACTGTCAGCCAACCAATAGAACCAACGCGTCTTCAGGGGGAATAATTCACCTATTCTCGGCATTCGCAGTGCATATGATTTTAAAAAGGTGGTCCAACAACCCACGAGAAATGGTCCATCCATGCGATATTTTGGTGTAAACATCCGGTTCGATGATGAACCATTTGTTAACGGATAGACACCCAGAAACCTGGGTCAAAGTGTTCGATTGAGGAAACTTACCGACACATTCTGGTGCTTTATAAGGACCATAGTTTTTCAGTATAGACTGAACGACAGCAAATGGTCAAAATATGCTTTAGCGAGGAGTCCAAGCAGGGTATATCGCACACAGACTGTCAGTTAACTACACGTTAAAGTAGGCTTCAAGCATCTAATCTTCTGCCAGAATCGAAGCAAACATGGCACGCCGGACAGCCTGTACTTCCAAACTGGAAGGCATGGTGCCCCCATTTTTCCTTGGCCTATAGTTCACTCTCATTTTATTATGCTGTCTAGCTGGACCGCGCTTCTGATCTTATTTGGTGGTGAACACTTAACAGCTGTGATATTACCCGAAGTATATGTGTCTGTGTTGTGCAACAAAAAAAGTTACCGACTGATCCTTCGGACTGGGGAGCGAGTCGAGCTTGGACATGAAGATACCCAGACTAAGTCAGTTGCTGAATGGAGCTGGTAAAACTATGAGTGCGCTAATCAAGTTGCCGTACTACCGGGTTGCAATTCATATGAACTCGTTCAGGAAAACCTGCACATCGGATCATCTCCGCAGCAGTCCAGACAAATACACGGTAGCCTTCAAGCTTGATAATGCAAACGGCTTAATTTTGCTTCATTGCTTATTGTATGGTATCTGACTGTGACGGTGAACTGAATTAAAAAGTATGACAAAAAGGTGCACAGTAAACTTGGTTGGAACTTGGTTGGTCGGAGCAATTACTATGCTCCAAGAAACATACTTTAAAATCACAACCTGTCTGGTACACCGCACAAGGCCTTCTGTAAGGTAATCCAACAATGTTTGAATCATCGGGGATGGTCTTCATTCGGTCACACTGAAACACGTGACTAGCCTTCGGGTACAATCCAGCAGCAAAACTGCTTATGTACTGAATGTACTCGGCTTTCAACAGCTGATTAAACAGCTCCCAAAAAGGGCGAAACCGGTCGTAGGCTGTCGATGAATTTTTAGTAACCATATGAGTAGTACATTACAAAGATATACATGTATCGCGATATCTCGAATATCGTAGCGACTGAAAGATGAGGCGGCCTGGTGCAGCACGTTCAGTTGCCTGGAAACATCACAAATGAGAGATTCAGCTGGGTTCTAAGTGAGTCTCTCGAAAAACCAAATTATTTTGCAAATGCGTGTATATTCGCTAAACGGCTCCCTGTTTGTCATCTCTCTGGGATCATAAGACGTCTTTTTATTTCAGGTTATCCTGATATTTTGCAGATGTGTCGAAATAAATCTAAAGCCGAGTCGATGTGATACCCCCAGAATGACGGATGAAAGCCCAAATGTTATACCCGTGAACTAATCGTCGAAACTCTAGATTTCCAATTAAAAAATCTAGGATATCTG